ACCTTTTTCCTTGAGGTGCTGATGCAGATCGCCCTACAACAAATATATGCACCAAATCAGCACAGGTACATCACAAGATAAAGAGAAACAATTCATTTTTCAATCAACATATAGAGAGTAAACAAAACCACATACCCCTCGCAAGTATTCAGTTATTAACATTAAGGGTTTTTTCTCAGTAACAGCTCCAAGAAATTGCACTATATTTGGATGACGGAGCTTCACCAGCAAATTTACCTCATGCCTGAAATCCTGACTGCATGAGAAGAATTAAATCAGGCAGAATCAGTATCATATTAAAATATAAAAAATTAATTACTGCAGCAAGGTTTAACTAATAGCCTACTTTTATAATTCTATAAATGTGCATCAAGCTTAAAGAGACAATTGTGAATTGAGAATGCTGACAGCCTTGGGTGATATGTGAAGCTTCTTAATCCACTTAATTTCCAGGACCTCTTACAATATTAGCAGAAAAGATTCTTAACAAATCGAATATGATTTATTTATAATTAGAGGATGTGACATGCTTGCAAAAGCAGCTTCTTGTTATAGTTTTGGTCAATGATGTGGAAGACTTTAAAAGTCAAAATATAACAGAGGAGACTAAAGATAGGCTCCTGTCCTCCATCTCTCCCTTCACACCCACCCACCCAAAAAAAAAACTGTGAAACTTGACAACAGCAGCAGACAGCACAAGATGTCAGAATTATATATACAGGATATTGTACTGCTAACCCCACAACAGAACTTACATCACCAATCGATCATCTGACAGGTTTGGGAGGATGCGTTTAACAGCTACGGGTGTTCCACGCCAGCAAGCTTTTAAGATCTCACCAAAAGACCCCTATCAATATCAGCTTCCATATTAGATACAAAAATCGCAAACCTTACTGGCAATTTTTTTATCAATAATGCAAAGTAGATTAAGCAATTAATCGAGCACAACAGTATCAAAACTAAATAGTTAAAAAGATTAATGGATTGAAGCAAAATGGACAGCCAGTTACCAGAGACTGTCCGTCCCTCTTCTATCTTGTAAGTACGTTTAGGATTATAGTAACCGCATAAAAAGGAAATAGAATTATCTCATACAGTCTTTAAACTATAGAAAAAATATAAAAATACCAAACGGAAGCGCCAATCAAAGAACGACAGCTCCAAGCACAAAAATTGTGCAGCTTTCCTGATTATGAGACACTTTCTATTTTGGAATGAAATAAAATGTTAAACACAGTGCTAAACAGATTAACTCCTCTACAACTATCCACAAATTTTAAAATTTAAGAAACTAGATTAGTTGAGATTTTTCATTTATCAATAACCATAGAACAAGTGTTAGCTTAACCATCATAAATTCGCTTCAATAGCTTATACTTGGGAGAAACCTCTTCACAGAAGACTATCAGTCACGCACTAATACAACACAGATTGAAAGATTTTAATGAAAAAACACAAAAAAATGTTACAACTACAAGAGTACCTATCTTTGTATACTACAGTTGCCAATTCATTTGAAAAGATACTAGAAAGGATAGCTTAAACAGACTTTAATTAACCTCCAACAAGCTAAATAGCAGCATTTCTAGTATAGCAAAACATACCTTTCCAATGATTGCAGAATTTGAGAAGTCCAGCTCAGTAGGATCAATCTCCCAATCACATTTCTTTGGTAGAGGTGGGGCAACAGGCCTTGGTTCAAAATGGCTTCCATTTTGTCCCTATATCATATTAAAACATTAAAGGCTCTTAAAGACTAATCCTAAGAAATCAAAGACACCATTCACATATTCAGGAAAATCAAGTAATTCTCAATAATTATGTAAAGAAAAATCTTGAAGTGGCACAACATGACATAAGGTAAAACAGTTGTTCAGTGACTTAGGAAGAGTGAATTGAACATCCTGCGTCCAAAGCTGTTAGCTTGTTTTCTTGTTATAGTACCAACAATCATTAGTTCTTGGCTCACTATTAAGGTGATAGCTCCAATCAGTTATTTGCTAAAAGTAAAAGATTTTTTCCCAACTCAGGTAAATGATCTCCTAATCATGTCATCAATCTAGAAGCCTGATAAATATGCTAGCTAGTTAATAAGGAGCCCAGAATTCCATTTATTTACGATGTGGGACATTTCATTCACTGATTAGTTAAAAAACAGCTTTGCTAGCTCATCAAGACCTGGATGGCTGTACAGAAACAGAGCTAGAAGCCTGATAAATCTGCTAGCTAATATATCTTTCTAACTATGAACAAGTTGATGCATTAAATGTTGATAAGTACAAGCTTTTGCAAATGGCAAACGACTGTTTTGATATATTGGATATATAAAAAGAAAAAGGAATATAACTCACATAAGATAGCCCACCATACGTCTTTAACAATTCAATCATGCCAGATTTCTTAGCGCCTTCTGCATCGGCTAGAGGCTGTCACAAACAATTGAAAACTAACATCAAAGCAGCAGACCAGTGAATTCACTCAAGAACCAATGATTGCATAGAAAGTCATATCACAACAAGCACATTGAAAAGATTAAAAACATGGACGAAAATATGCAAACTCGTATTTTCAATAATCTAAAATCCAGTTAATTCTTGTATCAAACAGTTAATCAACCTATGCCACATGAATTTCACACTGGTAACATCCCGCACACTTTTTGACTCGTGATGGATCACACGACATCATTTAATAGCTGAAGACTAAAAATCCAATTTCTGATGCCTAAAGTTTTCATTTCATAACAAGACAAGAGGTAACTTCAGTAAGGTTTAAGAGATCAAAAGCTATCACAATTTTGCTCCAAAATCAGGATAAGGTAAGCAAATTACCATGCTACTACCAGTTATCAGTTCCATACACAGACACACCTAACAAGCTTACGCACGTAACCTGTACTGTATGAAGATTTACTGGAAATAAGCAAATGTAAATTTTTTACCGTGTTTCTCCAACGATCCTGAGCGTTGACATCGGCACCATAGTCAATCAAGCACTTTGCAACATCGATCCAGCCATGTAACGCTGCAACGTGGAGTGGAGTTCGATTATCGTAATCTCTAGCTTGAACAAGCGTCCGATCTTCTTCTAGAAGCTTCCTTACGGCAGTCGCATCGTTATGATGAGCGTGCCAGAGTATTTGCGAAGTCTTGCTCACTCTTGACTTTTCCTTCTTCTTTTCCGTCGATACCACCGGTATTTCGACGGCGCCGGCGGCAGCCGATGAGCCGGAGCTCCCTTCACTTGCACTCATTTGGATCGTCGATCACTAGACTCGTGTGTTCCGTTTCTTTTGAATGTGTGTACACAGTTTAGTTTTGAGTCTTTCCTCTTCCTCTATATTTATATGAAAAAAAGAATTTATTTATTTTGTTAAAATGTGATTTAATGGATATTCTTCTATTACTTTGTCAATAGAATTAGATACTTTTCAAACATCTTTGCTAATGACTTTTTGATCAATTATTATATAGGAAAATCATTTTTCAAAAAAGATAAGATTCAAATTTGAAAAACTGTCATGCTTATGTTAATTGATCAATTAACAATTATTAATTAAAATGAGATATTCTAGATTTAAATTCCTTATCTGCTTTCTCAATTTGAATTCGCACATAAAATTTGACGTGAAATAGAAATTAGTCTAACTTTTTATTTATCGAACCAAAACTATATATTTTTCAAATTCAATTTAACTAATACATTTTTTTTCCAAATAATTAAAGAGAAATGAAACCAATGTCAGAGATTATATTTTGTTTTGAGTTGTATGAAAAAAGTCAATTATTTCTATCTTGGTATATTGGTGGATTAAATTAATTATTTTCAACGGTATATAGCCTCTTACCGACAATCCTTTTGACGGCTACATATATATGTTTCACTATTTAATCTGCAGCTCAGAAGAAGGTCCCTAATCATTTTATTTTATTTTTTGGCGATGTGTTCCCATTTTTTTTTATTACAGATTATAGAGAGACACGTTCAATTTGCTTGAAATGAGGATCCCTCCAGATATTCAGAAATATGCAAATATGTGATCCTACAATTTTCATATAGTCAACCATAATCCATAATAGTAGGGCTTGATATAAGCTTCATTATTCAATTTTTGACCAACCTACCACATCCATGTTCTTTTGCCCGGATCATATGTAGATGCATGCAATTTTTCCAGATATATAGTGGATTCATTTCAATCTATTACTTTTCATATTGACTGTAAATTATGCCTAAAAATTACTAACAAACAAATAGTGGATATGAACTTAATATTATTTTATAATATGAAATAAAAAATATCAACTCTCAATCTGAAACAATACGACTGTAATCTATTTCTTTTTTTTAAAAAAAAACAACCTTTTACTAAATTGTAGCTAAGATCTATGTCGGCATGTTAAGAAATGAAAATAGCAAAAAATAAAGATGTTGAGACGAATGTGTAAGAAGAAATTCTAGACAAAGTGGAAGTGAACAAGATGAAGAAAGTGACGGTGAGATGGTTCGTGCTTGCGAAGAGGAGAATAATGAGGAGATGTGATAGGTTGACCAAAGTGGCCCCGAGGAGAAGTAAAAGTAGGTTGAGAAAAAGTAACAAAGCGAGGTACTTAGACAAGACAGGACAAACTTACACCTTACCGAAAAAATACGACTCTAGATAAAACAATGTGATATGGAGGGTGAGGATCATAGACTCATCAAAGTAGTAGGTAGACAGCTGTATAATTTTCCTTATAAATATTCTTCAATTGTATTAATACTTGGTTACTTCCTTTGTTTCAATTTTCATATTATTTGTTCTGCTACAGTTCTTGTTTCCAGTATTTTCATCACTTCTTTTATTAATATACCCTTCGCTTAGTTGCTTTGATATGCTTTACTTGAGCCGATGATCTATTGAAGATAGGGGTAAGATATGCGTACATACCGCTCTCCCTAGACCCACTTCTGGTTTTACACGGGGTATGTTGATTATGTTTAGGGTAGGGATACAGTTGAGTTGAGAACCTTTTATACACATTAATCATTAAAATTATGTGGCACTATTATATACATGTAAGATCTATCGCAGACTAAAATAGCTGCACAGAGAAGAACTATATTACTGATTTACTGTGTCCAATATGTTTTTGCATACTAGACAAAGGAGATCGATCACCTGTACTCAGCTCAAACATAGCAACGTTACATAACGTTCTCTTGGTCTTCAAGTGAGCGCTTGCGTGCCCTTAAGTTTAGCTTGAGGCTTTCGGGCAACGGAGGTGTTCTGCCCCGGCGAAATAGAACTGCCAGTGCCCTCATCTTCCGGCATAGATCAAATACCTACAGAAAATTCAAGTTGCAATTAGGACGACGACTAGAAAATTAACTCACGCCTGAAAGTAGCTCTGTAGTTTTTCTTTTCTCTTACTGATGAAGCTTCTATTTCGGCAACACCTTCACAACCTTGACCACCTCCTTGAAGCAAGTCACAGTATTTTGCAGCCTCATTTTCATCCTCAAATACCTTCATACAGTTTAACATATTAGGTTGCAGAAGAATTTCGCTTAATCTAGTTTTCAGTTGAACAAGAAATTCCGAATTAATAACTTCATTTGATCTTAGCCAAAAGACTCAGAACAGTAAACCACCTACTTTATCTATGCATGAAAATCACAGTATGAACGATTAACACGCTCACTCTTCTGGCCAATTATTCCCTTTCACACAGTCTACCTGTAATATGTATCTATAAAGTAGTGTTACTAAAAAGGGCAATAATGTTCTTTCCAACATTAAAAAAAGAAAAACTAGAATAGGAAAGCTAACAAAATCTATCTGCCAAAAAACTGATTTAGCAGGAATGTCAAGTTAATGGAGAATAAAAACTGGAGCTGGCAAGATGATGGAAAACCAAAATTCTAGCATTTCTGGATGAAGATGCTAAGAACACTTTCTGATCAGGGCGGAGCCACTTAGGAGCAAGGGCTTCATCTGAACCCTCTTATGTGGAAAATTATATTGTATATACAAGATTAGAATTGCTTTTTATGTATATACAAATAGATATTGAATCCCCTTGGCTTCTTCGTGTGTTGTGTTTACTTCTTCATATTTTGAACCCCATTAGTGAATCCTGGCTCCGCCACTGTTTCTGATATAAAACGAAGGTGTGATTTGCTTTTTGGAAAGGTGAATTTGGTATTCCAGGCATTCTATAAACGACGGACGAGCAGTCCTCCATTGGGATGGAATAAGTCTTGGGGAAAGTGAAAAGAAATAACATGTCTACATAGCAAAATGCATATTCCAATGGCAGGAGTGCCCACTTTCCGTATTCAATAACCACTCACCAGACCAAAAACTTTGACAAAGTAAACACCATTCCATCTCTTCCAAAGGTTTCAAATAAAACCAGCAATTTAACTTCAGTAAAATTTTGTACAAGCAGTGTAAAATATAGAAGCACAATTATTTTTTGATTCCTTTTCTTTAGGTTGAAGGGAGTGCTGATCTTTGCATTCTATTCATCAGAGTTGCAAGCATATAAAGCTTTAGCTCTGAGATGGCTGTAACATTATCTATATACTCTTCCTTTCATAAGATCACAAAAATACACACATCAATAAATTGAAGAACAAAAACTGATTTCTCTAAATAGAATGATCAGTTGTTGAATACTTGAATTCACCTGTAAAACTATGGCGTCCACAACTTATTTGAATCATTTCATGTGGCATACTAGAGTCTACAACTTCCATACATGTGAAATATCAAGAACTCATGTAATGAGACAAATATTCTTATGGAACACAACTTTTCAGTCCTATTCTTTCCTTCCCCAGTTTCTTTCTCTAGCAATTTTGATCTTCCATGTGATATCTTGAATTGCATATGGACAATTTAGAAAGAGAACTGTCTCAATCATCAGTCAGTGGTCAGCATATGTAGGATGATGTCTAAGCACCTAACAATCAACTAATTTGAAGCTCTAGTCTACAATGCTATTTCTTGAACACACTGGTGCAGATCAAGAAATTTTTTCAAAAAACTTTTTAAGATAAAGCTCATATTTGGTCATAGTCTCAGATATATCATACTCTAAGGATGTAATATATCTACACATAGTAACACTTCAAGCGTACAAAAATTCTTCTTTGGTTTAAGTATGTATCAGTACTAACTTGAGGCTTTTTCTTAAGGGTTACAGATGCTTCAGGATCTTCCGTGCCCCAGATCTTACAGAAATATGTAAGAAAACTCAAGTGTGTCATAAAATAGAAAACTGAAAGAGGAAATCAACACAAATACTTACAAGTACTCCCTCTGTGATATCCTCAACAAGCATCTGAAATCTCGTGTCAGCTTCTGGCTGCTTTGCACGATTTTTCCATTTTCCTCCTTTGGAGAACAACATCCCAAGCTCTCTTTCAACCTCACTGCAAGCGGAAAAGAATCTCAGCCAATACAATTAGAATACTCACTTAAGTTAAAAGAAATAAACACACCTTCGGTTTCTCCGAGTCTTCATTGTACACAACTGGTTCTCTCTCTGGGTCAGCACATATACAGATTTAGGTGTTTCTCTCCAAGGATTAGCCTCCAGCACTGCAGCAAAAGATCAACAAGTAATGACTTTTTGACACTTCGAAAGAGAAATGTTGAAAATGCAGAGTTGCAGGCACTACAGCTAGCTTCTTCCGCTCATGTTCTTTGGTTATGATATGGACCCTGGCTACTAATATAACCTTCTGTTTTATTCTATAATTTGTCTGCTCCAATACCTACATGATATGTTTTGCATGCAGCATGAAAGATTTCTAGCATTAATACGGCATCCTGAAATCACTAAACATTTTGGCACATATTCGTACTAGCAGACCTACAAGTACATTGTTAGGGAAAAGATCGAACTTTTCTGATGTACTTGAGCAAACTACTTCATCAAAAGTCCATCATAATGAAAAATTACAAACAGAAAAGATCATTTCTATGCAAAGAAGTTTACTGAATATAGTTTTTCAATGAAAAAAATTGTTTAACTAATATAATAATCTTATTAAGTATAATACTCCAAATTCCTATAATTATCAGATACTAAATTCTTTAAAAATTTATATGCTGAGCTTTTTGCAAACTTATTATAAAATCTATAACTTTATTGAACATCAGAAAATTGATAGCTATTGTGATAGAGTAATATTTTTGGCAGCTGCATAGTTAAGTAAAACAAAATGAAAAAAAAAAGTAAGAGAAACTGGATTATAGTAGAGAAATGAAATTCACCATCATAGCTGCTGCTATCGAAACTCTGTTGAAGATGTCTACGCATGTCATAGGCACGAGAAGACACTTGTTCTACGAATTCGTTTGGAGTCTTTGGAATAGTTCCATCCATACGAAGCGCTCTTTCCACTTCATCATCTCTCCTCAAACTTTCCTCTTCTTCTTCTTCTTTCTCCTCATCTTCTCCGTTAGTACTCAATTTGCAACAAACAGAGATAGACCTCGTTCTACCACTACTTCCATTGAAAATTGAAATCCGGAATCGAGGAAAGCCTTTGAGCTTGGGTTGAGATGAGAAAGTGGCGATTCGCCGCCGGTGATTGTGGTGACGGATAAGCTTCCCGGAAGGAAGAACGATTGACGGAGAAACTGATGATAGAGAATCCATTCGAGAGAAATAGAGAATTGTCTAGTGTGTAAGAAGAAAAAATGGAAATGGGGAAGGTAGTTTTTTTTTGGAATAGAAGAAAAATAGGAGTTTGTTTGTTATGTGTAGGCAGGCAGCTGGAGAGTTTTTATGAATCTTCTTTGGAGTTTTCTGTTTTTTCAGATTTTTGTGATTCTACATTTTGGAAATTTTGTGAAAATAAATAAAATTAAAACTGATTAAAAGAAAATAACTACAATATACCCGTAATAATTTCACAAATGAGATCTTGAAAAAAAGGGTGGTATGTATGCGGCAACACTTCCTAACTTTCGCTAGTCAATTGACTACAAGTAAAAAAAGTAGGAAAAACAAATTGAAACAAATAACTAATAATTTAAATCTGGAAAGTAAACGTATACTAAAATTCAATCATTGTAAACAAATGAAAAAAGGGATATCTTGCGGAATTAAAAACAAACCAAATGTATTAAGTTTTGACCTATTCTCATCTCCTATTTCCCTCACGCAACACACTTTGGCCTTTTGGTGCCACCTTTTTGGACCTGTATTGTTTTCAAAACTCAAGCCAACGGGCTTGCATCATCTAGGTTACCTGCATAATACGCTTGAGAAACGATCCTTTTCAGGATCATGCATGATTACAACATAGGCTGCTTCAGCGGTGCAACCTTTCATCAGCCCAGCCGATTATATGGTTACATTATGACACTGACAATCAACTAAGAGAGGCAGCAGGCAACTCAACAAAATATTAGGTAGAAAGGGGATGAGAGAGAATAGGAGCATTATTGTGACGATCAAGTGCTTATTTTTTTCCTTAAAAGTATCACATGGTTTCATTTAGGATATACACTAGAATGCAGCTGAAAGTGATAGCTTACAAGCCAAATACATGATTAACAAACCAGATTTACATCCAAACTCCCAATGAATTACATGGGTACTCAATGGTGGAAAAGCTTGAAATACAGAATAATAATTATTGCCAAGATAAGGGCTCCAATCACAGAGCCCATAATCCACTTGTTTCGGCTAATTCTTCTAGACATCGAAGTCAAGATCTTCTTGCTCTTGTCAATGGCATCATCCACACCGTGAAGCTGTAAAAAGATAAAAGACAAATAATAAACATAGCCGCTCAGGGAGCCAAACTTACCGGAACAGTTGAAATTACTCAAATAGAGGTCAGGGAGGAAATACAAGGGATACTAGAAACCAGAAAGAGAATCTCAAATGGACTCGTACCTTATTATGTGAATGTAGCAGTGTTTCACGCTGTTGGTGCAAATCCCCTAGAATTGACACACCAAGGTCTTCAGTCTCTAGGGCAATCCTTCTGCTCTCCCTGATCCTGTCACTTGACTGATCAAGTCTCTCTGTTGACATTGCTAAGCGTTCCCTTTGACTTGCAGAAGCCTATAAAATCATATTATGGCTCTTTACAGGTAAAGCCAGGAAATGTAAAGATGAATTCCACTACACACATATTTGGATTACAATAGTATTTTATGCCTACGGTCAATTTTTTTAAAAGCCAACCAAACATTAGCCGACTTGTCCTTTAGCTGTGCTGAACATCATTGCTTTCAACTATCTCGCGTAAGAAAGAGAGAGAAGGAACTGAAGTGGTCAGCAGGTAATATATAATGAACCTTTTCTGTGCTTGGCACCGTGGGGTTTCATCAATTTATGTTAGGGCTTGACCAACAAAGGCCACTAACAGTATGAAGAAAAACCAATGGACAGATCACAGATGGCAATGTAAGTGAACCTAATCAGTTCCTCTTACATAAGTAGCAGATTTATAAGTCATGAAAATTCTGATCTTCAATTGATTTGACAAACTTTGATATCATCAACCAAGCATGAACATTATATGCAAGACCACAATTAGCTTCTCCCACAGAAATTTGCGTACAATGGATGGTAACATATCATTCAATTGAAATTTTTATAACCTTGAGACCACACAACTTTACCATGGAAAATGCTAATACAACCCCAAAGTCAAATTATATGAAAACATGTATGACATAGTGGAATCCTCAAACAAAAATATAGGGAGAAGAAAAAACAGAGCAGAAGAAAATTTTTAGTATACATACTGCATGTGGATCCATCATTCCAGACTCTAAATCATGGGCAGCTTGATTAGCACTAGTCAAGGTCAGTTTATTCACTTCTTTCTTCAACTTATTCAGGTCTGATTTGTATTCCCTCAGTTTAGCAAGTAATGTTGCTTTTAAACTCGGTTGCAAACTTCTTGCCTCGAGATCCATTTTCCGTATCTAAGCATAGACCAGCACTTATCATCAGTTCTGAAAAAAGAAATCTTTTCGAGGAATAAATTTAGAAGTCAATGGCTTACCAACACATCTGCATCATCCAATCCCACTTTGAGTTCGGAAATCTGTTGCTTTTTCGGCTCTGCTCATTACAGTAGCGAAGTTATAGTCATAATCCATTAGAAGCGTAACAGAAGATATTAACAACTTATCAAAGCATTAACACAGAAAAGGAAAATCAGGCATAACATAAACAAATTAGCAAAAATACACACTAACATAAAAATCAGAATTGAAAAGTCTTTCATTCTTATTTTTATTTGTTCCTTCAATTCTCTCCTTTCCTAAATGTTTTAATTCTTATTTAGTATGATCTGACTTCATAACTTGCCATGCTTACACCTCTTCCCTATTGGAATACCAACCCAATCTTGAAGTTGAAGTGACTTCAGGGAATTTAGGAAGAAAACCTTTTTTACAGCAAAAAACTAATACGTAGCAACACCAGAAAAAAGAATGCTTTAATGGACAGGTACACTAAAAAGGGTGAATTGTTTGCTTTCTTGCTTGATGTGTATAGAGACAACTCAATAAACAAAAACTACATCCGCATCCCACACTAGTTGAGGGCAGCTATATGTATCATCATTATATATTCCACTCTGTTCAAATCCATTTTATTTCAGTACTGGAAAATAATTTGTCTATTAAGGCATATAAGGGTTCTGCAACCTAAAGACTCTTAAAATCTCACACTTGTATGTACACTACCATAAAAGGCTCTAACCAGACTTAGTAGAGAACATTAGAAGCAATAAGTTCACATCGATAAAAACTCGGAATTTACGTAAATCCAATTAATCAATCAAAGAACTACTTCTACTTCTTAATCCCAGACTAGTTGGAGTCGGATATATGAATCATCTATAACTATTCCACTCTATATGGGCTTATTTCAATACCAATACGGGAAAATAATTTGTCTTTTAAAGCAAATTAGGAGTTCTTCCAAACTGCTAACGCTTCTCTAAATCTCACACTTATCCCTGCATCGACATGCAATTCTTTCACCAGTCTTCAAAGAGAGATGCAAGAGTACCAGAACTGAAAGCCCTAATCCTAACTAATTGGGCATGTATATTAGCTTAGTTTGCATATTCCCCAAAATCCATATATTATTTTTATAATAGTGGTGTCTGGGACATAGGTACCTGTTACTTCCCACTGGCACAAGTACCTAGGAACTCTCAACCTGGTCATTGAGCAATAGGACACACTCTTGGGTGTGTATCCTATAATTCGCATTTCCGCATTGATCCACAAAAGCTATATAATTGTTTTTCAAAAAAAATCAAGTGAATCAGTTACCTCCGTCAGCCAAAAGAGCAGCAGAATTGCATTTCCGAGACAAATTGACAGAAAGTTCACAGTACTGCCTCTCATATCCCTCAAATACTTCACTCATCTTCCCTCAAAATATCCGCCCAAACAAAATTCAACCTGTAAATATAAATCAAATCAAACGATTGAATCAAGTTCATTGAGAAACTAAAACGAAATTGAAAAAAAAAATCGATCCACCAAACACAATCAAGTAGATACACGTATAAGTAGGATAAATATACCAGTAATGAAATCGTACGGCGTACGTATGATCGGAGACGGCGATATACGTTGAGTCACTGACGAGCTAAAACTGAGTGGACTCGGATCAGAGCTTTGTTAAGGAGAAACGGAAATTGTTCGCGGGGAGAGAAATTGAGTAGTCACAGTTCACTTTTCATAAAAAATAGGGACTTAGAAAAAAATACAAGTATTTCTTTTTTCTTAGAAAGCCCTTTAGCTTTTGAATACTCACACATTTCTCCAAACTAATAGTAGATTTGATCCATAAGGGAAAGAAAGATATTTTTGTGCTATTTTTAATACGTTAGGGACTTCTCTACGCAATAAATAAAAAATTGAAGTGAGGGATGAAGAGAAAAGATAGTATTTTTTAATTTGATTAGAAGGATAGTAAGTATAGAGTATATTTATGTGGAAGAGGCGGAGGCTAATATCGTCTACTCATCTTCTCCTTACTGAGTTATACTGAGGGATGAAAAGAAAAGATAGTATTTTTTTATTTAGTAATATCGTCTACTCGTCTTCTTCTTATTGAGTTACAATGAGGGACGAAGAGAAAAGATAGTATTTTTTTATTTAGTTTAGAAAGATAGTAAGTATTTGAGTATGTGGAAGAGGCAGGGCCTAATATCGTCTACTCATTCATCCTTATTGAGTGATATTATTTGGTATTCTCCTTATTGAGTTATATTATTTGATATTCGCATATTATTTTATCGTCGTTATATCCATTAATCCTACTTTGATTAATTTTTTTATAGTTAAAAACCTATTGAAAATTGGTTTTAATAAACTTGTACTGTTATTGCAAATGTTGTTATGGAAACTCTAGTTTGCTAACTCAATATTGTAAGCAAAATTTTCAAATTGTGCAGAGAAAACACTCACCATAACCTGAATTACACAAAATGTATGCACTAATGTTTCCAAGAGTGATCGGCAGACCAAGGCAATCTTGTGCAATAAGTCTTTTAACACACTACTGCAGGGTAAAAACTAGGTTAGAACTCTACATTCTTACAATATGCACAATCTAATACAATATCAGAGAAATATCATGTTCGAATTCCTCAGAGAGAAAGTGAGCAGGTGGTTTTATATCATGGGAAAAATATGCAAATTCTTACCTAAATTTGGACAAGAAATTTAACTCTCATCTAACAGATTCAGTAATTTCTCAACTCGGATCAGCAACATCATATGCAGCTCCTCTTGCGTCTGTCTGGTCAGACTCTACATGCCCCAACTCATTCTCAGGGAAAAC